TGATCTTTGAACACTTGAGCCGAAATATGAAAGGTATAACATCGGTTACTTAGCATCACAACCATAAAAATGCACAACTGGAACACCGATCAACTTCTGACAATTCAAAAAAAAAAGTTACGATAACAATGACGAAAAAATTTTGAGAAAAAGAAGAGAACTTGTATAATTCACAGAACCAAAGGGCGGTACTTAATCCACAAAAATTTGAAGCAGTAAGATTTTTGCAGACGTCAACATTAATTTATCAATTTCGCACATTCCGAAGATATTTGTTTGTAATCGACGTCTCCTTAATTTTAAACTACTTTATTTAGATCACTCAAATATCAAATTTTTTTTTCTTTAGCAGAATTCAATTTTTTTTTCCCCTTCATTTTGTAACCCCCTCCCATTCACCGCCCGCTCCACCTTGACCTCCTCTTCTGCTTCTCCACAATCATATTTTCTGGTCTCCCTACGACTCTAACCCTGAAAAAATCAAAGGCAAGTACAGTTAGCAATTTAGTCAATGAGCGCTGGGCGTGAAAAAGTCGGACAGAGGAGAGGAAGAGGTATAAGGCTTCTGTTATAAAGATTTTTGCTTGAACTGTCCTAAGAACCAAATTCGATAAACAGTCACCGTTGTTTTTTCATAACATCATGATTGATAATTTTGCATTGTTTCAGGCTCAGTGAAAACAAAAAAGAAAAAAGTTTTTGATTTTTTAGAAAACTTTGCACCAGAATAAATTTGTGCAAATAAAAGTGCAACGTCATTTGAAACAGCTGATACTGGTAAGTGAAGAATTGTAGATGGTAACAAAAGAAACAGGCAAAAGTTATCAGATACAGCTACTGCAAAAAGTTTAAGTGCAACAGTCCATTTTTGAATCACTGTTGATGCCATCAACTGTCGCTACCATTCGCTGTATCTTCAAGCCTAAGTCAACTAGAAATAAAGCAAAAGAAAGACAATCAAAGAAGATTTTAGTAATTTAACTAACTGCTTACTAGTAAGTCAATCCTAAATGTCCTATACTGCAGGTCATCTAATAAGCGATTTTTACTCAGCAGACTACGATAATTAATGTTGTTGTTGTCATTACTGTTCCAAATTTTTTGTCGAAACCATAAAAGAAAGTAAACTTTTCATTCTCCACTTCACCTGCTTCTCACTGCTACTTGGAACCTGAATAAAGCTCATTAATTACAGCGGCGATTCCACAAAATAGTGGTGATTGATATTTCAAATCTTGCTTGACTCCCTCAACCCTTAATGACGGCCAAATGTACTGCTGAACTCAACTTACCAGTTGCTTTGCGATGCTAACTGCATGATTATTCTTTGCTTTGAAAAACAGCAAAAAACTCGTATTCTTCAACGATTACAAACTCACAATTTCTATTCCCCTCCCACTTCCTTAGTTCAGAAAACAAAAAAAAAAAAAAAAAA